TGCATTAAAAATCGGATTAAAAACAGATCACCTAAACACCATATGAATGGCTACTTAATGCATTGACAAATTAAACTCTAAATAACTTATTTATTACACCATTCTCCCTCATTATTTCCCCATAACCTGATGTAATATCATTAACTACTAACAAATGTGCTGCTTTTAAAACATCAATGTACTGATCTCATTTGATCCTGGTCGAATTCTAATGATCCGTTCATACCTGGTATCAAGACGCATTTATGTCGATCCAATTATAAGTAGACACATTACTGTTCATAACTGGTGTTTAAATGTTTCTTTTGGCTACTTTCGACCGCTTCTCTGATAAGAGAGAGTCTGCAGGTGGGTATTGGCTTTCTCTGATCTTGAAAGCTAGTGCATTTTTCAGAATTTACAAAAAAAGATACAATACAAATCAAATTAAAGATAAATTAACTAAACACAAACTTATGAATAGCTAATTTATGGATTGACAAATTAAACTTTAGTAACAGTAACTGATTTATTATATTTCCGGTTAACTCCTATTTGGCCGACAAAAAGACCATTCACTTTTATTCTTTCCTCATGACCTGATATAATATCATTACCTACTCACCAATGCACTGTTTTAAAGACATCAGTGTACTTTATATAACGCTTCTTGCCCTAAATATAAATTTTTTGCAAACAATTACAATTCCTAAATGTCACTAGTAAATATAAAACAATTTGTCAACCACACATTTTGACCAAAGCAGCATTATTTGACACATCTGACACTGTTACGATTAGATATCACTGTCCTTTTTATATATTTATCACATGACAATATAAATGCACATGTTATAATATAATATGAAATAACAAAAATGATCTTCAATTACAAATATATTACATATTCCTGTACTTTAGAAGCCAAGTTTAGTCATTTTAACAGGAAAAACCGTATTAGACTAGGGTTTCTGCAGGTTTCATCAAGTCAAATTTAAGACTTTTTAAGACCATTATGAATGAAATTTTACACTTTTACAGGGCTAAACACTAATGATTTTTTCTAATAAAAAAAAATTATTTCTTAGCAACATATTTTAATGTGTCAAAACAACAAAACTCTAGTTGTATGAACTATTTTCAACATAATATTTATTTTTGTTCGTTTGTTTGTTTGTTTGAAGACACATTTAACATTATAAAAAGTATATTTATTGTGGAGGCAATTACATAAATATCCCAATATATATATATATATATATATATATATATATATATATATATATATATATATATATATATATATATATATATGTTGACTTTTAGTCCACAATGATTGAGAATAACTTCTATTCAACCTAATGCATTTCTGTTATTATCACGAGGAACTGTGTAGATGTTTATAGTTTTATTTCCCTGATTTTATTAAGATGGATTGCTGGTGATTGGATATATGTCGGCGCAATTGCATAGCTTTACTTGGAGAGAGGACAATTAAGACCTGTTTAAAAATATTTAAGACAAACAACAAAATATTTCGAATTTAAGCCTTTGAAGCCCAAAAATTTTTTTTTTTGAAATGTAAGACCCCACAAATAACCTGGATTAAACTGCCTGGCCATTTAACATAATATCATACAATATTTCAGACACGATACTTAAAATGTCAGCGTTTTTCTAGCTTTAAGCTACAATAACAAAGTTCTAGCAACACTTTCGTCTTGATAGTGTTGTGTTGAAAGAAAATGAAACAGATTTTCCGTAAATGATGAACTTCTACTTTACGTCAGAGTTCACTAGCAAAATAATGGCATGTATTGTAGTCAGAATTCTAGGTTTTATAATGCTATTCATTTAAACCATTTGTAAAACTCTTCTGCTTTAATAGCCAGAAGCGACAGGGCTGCCAACGTTAATCAATGAATGATCGAAGTCTCGCGGATGGTGTGTCATCCTGCCAGAGTCGATACATAACAATGAAAAACAACAAAAGCGAAAAACGCTTTATACACTGATTCTTTAAACGGAGATTTACAGTTACGTGTGGTGCTTTTGTATTTATTGTGTGGTGAACGAAACGGACTCATCTTCACAAACAAAACCTAAGCGGATGTTACAGAAGTATTAGCTAGCCACTGAAGCTAACTAACAAAACAAAACATGTTACGATTAAAAATTGAACGCATGCTTACCTTCTTTACAGTATCGTGAGCATAGCTTGTCAAATAAACAACAACCGGTGTTCTCCCGTGAGGTAAACAGAAACAAAAAATAACCAGCGAGATTTAAAGAGGACCATCAGCTTTTTCTGATAAACCGAATTTGATCTCCACCAACTGCTGGCAGGAAACGCGACTACGCCAAAGTATCGCGAGAACTGTGTCGTGTCGCCAATAGGCCTCATCAAATTCAAAGAATAACAAGTTAAACAATAAGGAGCAAAAATGAATAGGCAGAAAGAAAGAAAGAAAGAAAGAAAGCAAGAATGAGGAGTAACACAAGGTAAATCAAACTCAATACTGCTGTAGATTTGTTTTCATGATCTTGACACAACTAAACAAACTCAGTTAAATGAAGTTTATATTTTAAATATGGTGCATCTACATTTAAACTATTAGGGTCAAAACTCAATTAAAGTAAAAAAAAAAATTGTAAGCTGGGACCAAAAGAAATGTAAAATATGAGTACAATAACAAGGTGTTTATTTGTTTCATCACAAGCTGAACTTTCTGCAGTGATTTACAAATGAGAATAAAACCCCTACCTGAACTGAAAAAAACAGCTTAAACCAGCCTGGTTTTGAAGGTTTTTGGCTATTTCCAGGCGGATTTCCAGCCATTTCCTGCTAGGTCTTAGCTGGTCAAGCTGGGAAATGACCAGCTAAAACCTGCTTGACCAGCCTAGCCAGGCTGGGAGCCCAGCCACAACCAGCTATGTCCAGCTTAAACTACACCTTAAGACCAGGCTGGAAATGTTTTTTTTCAGCAGCCATCCATCCATTCATCCATCCATCCATCCATCCATCCATCCATCCATCCATTCATCCATCCATCCATCTTGAGGCAGAAAAAAAGAAAGAATGGGGAGTAACAAAGTAAGTTTTGACCAACTTAAACAAACTCAGTTAAATTAAGTTTATTTTTAATATATGTGGTGCATCCACATTTAAACTATTAGGGTCACAACTGAATTGAAGAAAAAAAAAAATGAATTGCTGTGGTGAAAAATGTGTAAAATGTGTATTCTCATGCAGAGTTGAATGGGGTATATGCACACAGACTTTTAATTTTATTCAGACAGCCCCAGGGCTTCTGGTTAATTGTCATTCCATACAAAATCGCTTCATTTAAGATCTGATTTCTTTTAGAAAAAAAGGGGGGTAATCTTCACTGGCTGGCTGAGATATGATATAAAGAGGGTGTCAGACCAAACAAGAAGCACTGTATTAAATTATATATTTCAGCGCCATGTCTTTAAAATATGGACATTTATTTTACACCAGTATTTTCAATGGAATTTTTGTGCTAGCCTGCTGCTAATGATGGTGCCTCCATTTAAACACTTTCCTCCCTTTCTACGAGTTAACAACCAAATGGATGCTTAAGTCTATTTAACTGATTATATTTGAATTACATTACACTATTGATGCTGTAAAAGGAACCTTATGAAATTGACAATAGTCACATAAAGCTTTTACTGCAAGTTCATCATTGGCTGAAAAACACTAGCTGTGCATGCAGTTCATTGTAGCATATAAATTAAAGACAATATTGGTTCCAGCACAGAGCTTTGTGCAAACCACAAGTGAGCTATTTATTTAAATGGATGAAGTTTAAAAGAAATTGTAAGAACCCAAAGAAATGTAAAATGAGTAGATTAACAAGGTGTTTATTTGTTTCATCACAGGCTGAACTTTCTATTTTCTGCATTGATTTAAAAAAATGAGAATAAATCCCCTGAACTGATCTATCTATCTATCTATCTATCTATCTATCTATCTATCTATCTATCTATCTATCTATCTATCTATCTATCTATCTATCTATCTATCTATCTATCTATCTATCTATCTATCTGAGGCAGAAAAAAAGAAAGCGAGAATGAGGTTTAACACAAAGTAAGTCAACCTCAGTACCGTTGTAGATTTGTTTTCATGACCAAATTAAACAAACTCAGTTTATTTTTAATATAGGCCTATGTGGTGCATTCACATTTAAACTATTAGGGTCAAAACTGAATTGAACAAAAAAATCTTAATATGCAGTGGTGAAAATTTACATTCTCATTCACAGAGTTGAATTGTAGTATACAAATTAAAGACAACATTGGTCCCAGCACAGAGTCCTTGTGCAAACCACAAGTGTGCGAGTGAGTGATTTATTTTTACTGATGAACTTAAAATAAGTAAAAAATGTAAGCAAGACCCCAAAGAAATGTCAAATATGAGTACATGAACAAGATGTGTATTTGTTTCATCACAAGCTGAACTTTCTGCAGTGATTTAAAAATGGGAATAAAACCCCTTGAACCGATCTATCTATCTATCTATCTATCTATCTATCTATCTATCTATCTATCTATCTATCTATCTATCTATCTATCTATCTATCTATCTATCTATCTATCTATCTATCTATCTATCTATCTATCTATCTATCTATCTATCTATCTATATTGAGGCAGAATGAAAGAAAGCAAGAATGAGGAGTAACACAAAGTAAGTCAATCATACTTGGTTGTTGTGTATGTAATATAGTGAACAGTTCAAAATGCAGTTGGTCCACATATTAGTGCAATAGTTGAATGTCTAAAAAATACAATGACTTCCTAGAAAATACATTTAAAGAATAAATACACAGAACCAAAACTTTACTTGGCACTGGTCTACTACAGGGTTAAGACATCGACCTTTGTATGTCCTCCACAGGGTTCAGACATTATGATTTCATATCTAAATAACTACAATTATCAAATAAATAAAAATAACATTACAAAAAACATAAGTAAATCAGTGGACTTTCTCCAAGTACAAGAGTATATTTTAATTGACACTTACTGTGTCCTCCCTCCTGCCCTGACGTTAGTTCATTAGCTTTTCAAAAAACACTTGGTTTTGACAATATCAGTAAAAGCTCCAGGTTGCACCTTCCCCCTTTCTTAAACGTTTGACGGATGGGCCGTTGGTTTTCCCTTTTCGCTCCTTTTGTGAATCGTTTACCGAGGGTATGATGATATTGTTCAGCTTCAGCTGAAGCCAGTCCTGTCTGTCTAACATCTCCTTGTGCTCCCGAACATTGTGCATCAGCTGAACTTCACTGATTGACCTCTTGCTGTTGCAGATGGAGAAATGCAGGGGTCAGATTTTCACTGAAATCACAAAGCTAAAAGCCACACCAAAATCTCATCTCATCTCTCTTACCTAATTGGCAGTCCTTCCAGAAATAAAAAACTGCAAAGACTCCACAGCACAATAATAAGCATGGCTTTCTCCAAACAACGTATGAGTAACATAGTGATACCTGTTGGATAAGTTAAAGATAAGCAATCATTCACATGATTGAGTTTTCATTATAGAGATAACAATGGCGTCTGAACTTACCAATATTTTATTTGATTGCTTTGATGTTTCGGAGCTGGTGCATTAAGAGGGTCCATGTGTTGTTCGGTGTCATATCTGTGCGATGGGGCTACTCTTCGTCCTTTTATACGTGCAAGACCCCTCCCGTTGGTCATTGATGAGCTATCTCCATTATTGATGGTGATGTCATCCATGCTTTGATGGAGACTGGCATGCACATTACGACACATGACTACCAACACCCCCACGAATTCTGTTTTCAACACCTTGGTCAAGACCCCCGTGATCACAGTGCTGTAGAACTAGTGCCATGTACGGCTGTGACGGTCAGGCAGTGTGCCATCTTCGACAAAGTAAACACCTATTTCATTATAGCATGTTCAGAGACTCAAAACACATCATCATGCACTTATATATATATATATATATATATATATATATATATATACTTTCAATTGAAATGTTGCATTTAGAATAACTGAATTTATATATGAGCTTTTGTTATTACTGGTGATTGCACTTCTTTCATGCTTCTATTCACATATTAGAGTTACTATTTAACAAAACATGACCACATAACCACATTTGACAAGAAGGACATTTCAATCAAATAAACAGTATCTACTTATTATTTGTAACATATAATAAAAAAACATAACTTTAGCTTAATTTAGAGTATGCAGAGTCAATTCTGTAGACTTGCTTGTACTGTTCATAACAACTCTATCTCTCAACCCTAGGTTAAATCACAAGATTTATGGCTCTTTGTTCTGCAGTTCTGGGATTCGGGTGTCCCGTTTACCAGGTCAGACTGAAGAAATAAAAGAAGAGATTTGTGCCAAACATCATGGTGGAAGCATTGTCCACCTGAAGTTTAAGTGATCTATGGGAGGTGTATAACCTTGTCACACTCTCATGGGACACATTAGGTAACCATGAGAGAAGTTTTCTAAATGTGGAAGAGGAATGGCTATGTCATGACACATGCAGTAAGTCCTAGTAAGGAACCAAACTGAAGGAACCAAAAACAATTGTATCAAATAAGACTGATTATTATATTATATAATAGCCAGAAAAACATATATTATTTCAGCAATTTTCCAGAACACACTTAAGCGATACTCAAAATTGAAATTAAGATACTAATAAATAACTGAATAAATATAATAGTACACAAAGTTTGTTTAACATGTTTATACAGAAGGGTTATGTGCTTAAAAACATGATAGTAAAAGAAATAAATATAAAAAAATTATGAATAATTTCATGAACCATTTAAATTATATTGACAACATATTTTGCAACTACTCAAATAAACATAAATAAAAAACTAAATGCTAAAAGAGTACTGGAAAAATGTTTCAATGACGCTAAAAATAGGCTCAGCAGACCTAAAATTGCAGGGAAGGCTGCAGAACAGTGTGAAATGTAAATCCTTGTAACTTAGATTTACTGCTTTAATGTCTGTAAGTTCCTTTACCCTATGAAATTCTTTGACAGAGAACCACAGACTGATGAATATTTAGAAGTCAAGACCATAAGTCTACAGAAAAAAAAAGAAAAAAAAACTAAATTCTTGATTCACTCGACCAACTTAAATTCAGTTAAATTACTTATATATATATATATATATATATATATATATATATATATATATATATATATATATATTATAAGTGGGCAGATGAATTTTTTAAAATCTAGATTAATCTCACTGTAATCTTGGAATTAAGATTAAAATGGCTCATTTGAATTCTGTCAAAGGCCTTCAGAATATGTGTGCTACCCAAGTAATGATTAAAAGTAAGTCTTTAGGAACGGGTTTCTCAAGCCAGGTGGCACAATAGAGCAGAGGGTCATCTCTTGTTTCCAAAATGCATCAGAAACTGCTTGAGAAATTGTTCTATGATAATTGCAGATGAAAATGAATCATGTTCAATAAGATGTACTTGTGTTTACTTACTGTTTATTCAGGTAAATATGATTTTTTAACTGCCTACATAAGCTCGAAACAGCGATTTTTGATTACCTTAAAGGCTAAAGGCATAACTGAACTTAACAGAAATAGAATTAGGACATGTGGAGTATGCTTATATTAGTGGCAGTCATGAAGTAAACACCGTAATAAAACTATTACCATCATGTAGGACTTTTCGGCATATTTTCCGACAAGTTCCACACACGCGGCTGTCAATAAAGGACAGAACACACACACATACATAGCGAAATGCGGAAGTTTTTTTCTTTCCATTCGGCGTGTGTTATTAAGTTCCATAACACTCTCACAGTCCTTACTCCCTATTCGCGTCTAATACCCCAGTTTGTCACGGGGGCATGAATAAAATGTTCATGAGTTAAAGTGAAAATGCCGAACTGCAGTTAAAGTCACTCAAAATTACAGGAAACTCTTACATGAAAGCACTTTACGTAAACACCTTAATTCTATTATTGTCTATTAAGGCAAATAACTAGATTACCGATGTCCACGTTAGCGTATGCAGTAGTGTCTTCGAAGTAAGTGGGCATACTGCTGATTTGATTCAGAAGGGCAGTTTTTTTGTCAGACGGCTCACCGTTCAGGTATTCACCTTATTCTCCACGGACAAGTGGGCGCTGTCATTTGAATCTTTTTGGCACGAGACTTCCGGTCTCATTCATTTCCATTAACTTTTAGACATTAAAAACTGCTTGTTTCGCTGTTTGATGTTGCAAACTGATATTTCCTTGTTATAATATTCTACTTGGTCTTTATAGTCATGCAAACATTTGTTTGTAGAGCAAGTAGATTGACCGTTTTCTGCCGTTTATTATTCCTAGTCATTTTTCCCATAGGCGACTGAAACGGAAGTTCTAAGACAATCGCGAAAACAGGCGCACTTCTGCATTTTAGAATAAGGTCAATACATCCGTGCTAAAATATCAAGGTAAAAGTCATCTTGCGTAGAATAGACCCAGCTTCCAACCCAACGTTGAGAATAGATTAACGGCAATATTTCATTAAGTCATTGCTTGAAAGGTTCCTGAAATGAGGAAAAAACATAGGGCGGTGCATGATTTTGTTCTTTGGGTATCAAGTGGGTTGTTAAAAGATGGGTGCTAGAAAGGTCTCAACTGGTATTAAAGGGCCATGAAACCCCCAGTTGCAGCAGGGTGTTTTCACACCTCTAGTGTGGAAAAAGTCAGGAAAGTGGGTGTGTCTAGCTCTGTTTGGGTGGGAGTATCAGGGTAGGGAAAATGGGAAGGGTTTGAATAAAAATGGGAGTTCCCAATTGGGCACGTGCTGATTTTAACCGAGGAAAAACAAACACACACGCAGGGGAGAAAGACAGTGTGTTTAATGACGGTGAATTGTTTGATACTGCACGTCTTGTAAGAGAAAAAAACCTCTGCATTTCTCGGTAGCTCAGATGCACTCGGTAGGTCAGAAAGCCGTGTGCGTAGACTATCCTCTCACAAAATGCGGCGAAAATTAAACACGACGGTCGGCAATAGTTTGCTTACAGTGTTCACGTGTTTGAGCAGCATTTACAGCGGATTTTTCAGTCCTTAATATTGCAGTGATGTTAACGTAAACTAAGTAACTTAGAAATCATTTTGACCAAGGTCTGTCTTTAAACACTGAAAGAATACTGCTGACCATACGAACTATAACTTTGCCATCTGAATGAACAAAGAAAGGGCGCTGATCGCACACACTTACCGAATCTGTAGACAGGACAATCAACACATACTGGAGCTGCATCTTTTTTAAAAGGAGACGAGTAGCAAATCCAGATAACTCTATTTTCAGATGAGAAAAGCTCTTGAGTCAAAAATGTTCTGTACAAATGTATTTCTGCCACGCGTCACGTGCACTGTAATCTACACGTGAGTCCAGCAGTGCTCTTATAGAGAGAAAATGAAAACAAAACCTTCACTGCAGCACATTATAAAAGCAACACTGACAACCCGTATCTCCAAACATTTCTTATTCTTTTCCCACTTCTTTTGGCAACACGACGTGGTGTCTCTCTGCCGTCTGAACACTGTTTCAGGTACAGTCTAGTGATGGATCGTTCATGAACGATTCGTTAATTTTGAATGAATCTTAAATATGACTCGGGAACTACGAGTCCTCTCAGGGAGTGATTCGTTCATCCGCGCGTGCGCACATTTGTGCAGGTAGTATTGTTAATTTAAAGTCTTTATCACATTGGCAGAAGCCAATCATATGCGTTTAGAGCCGGAAAAATAATTGATCCGCTCCCCTCTCGAGTCCTCTATCGGGTCTGAGTCACTCGTTCATCACGGACCAATCATACGCGTTTACAGCTGGAAAAATAATTGATCCGCTCCCCTCTCGAGTCCTCTATCGGGTCTGAGTCACTCGTTCATCACGGACCAATCATACGCGTTTACAGCTGGAAAAAGAATTGGTCCGCTCCCCTCTCGAGTCCTCTATCGGGTCTGAGTCACTCGTTCATCACGGACCAATCATACGCGTTTACAGCTGGAAAAAGAATTGGTCCGCTCCCCTCTCGAGTCCTCTATCGGGTCTCAGTCACTCATACATCACGGACCAATCATGCGTGTTTAGAGCTGGAAAAAGAATTGATCCGCTCCCCTCTCAAGTTCTCTATCGGGTCTGAGTCACTTATTCATCATGGGCCAATCATATGCGTTTAGAGTTGGAAAAAGAACTGAACCATAAAAGAAATTCTATTTATGACTTATTTGTCGTGTAATCAACCTTTTGGGCTAGTTGTAGATGTGTTTGGAAACAATTCGTAACATTTTAATAATATTTTGGCAAATTGAACCAAATGAACGAAATGACTCAAAAATAGATTCGTTCATCTTGATGAACGAGACTCAAAGATCCGAGTTAGTAAAATGATCCAAACTTCCCATCACTAGTACTGTCTAAGAAAGCTAGCATGCATATTAATGAAGTTGCAGCGCATACATAATAGAGCACGCTGATTGGTTTGAACCAAGCCATACTCATGAATCAATGCAACACACACAGAGACCTAATACGATACTCCCAGGTCCAGACGTCCAGTCTGGAATACATGCTAAGATCTCATGGCCGTGATGCAGCTTCAAAAATTTGTTT